ATGATTGTAGACATGATAATAAACATGCTACAACGACTGGTTTCGAAAAAGGACTTCCCAAATGAAAAATATCATCATTTTACAAAATAGTCCAAAACATGAAAACCTGAAAATTGATATTTTGATATTTTGACTTAAACAACATTTTGAAACCTTATGAAATGATTGTATAGACTTGATAAAAGATATAACATGTTGTTATGAAGTCTATAATCTAGAAATACAATATTTTCATAAATTTGCATATTCTATGCAATATATTCAAAACACTAAATATAATTTCATTAAATATAAGCTTGTTAAAGGTGAAATCATATATAGGCATATAAACATGAAACAAAATAGTATTTTCCAATTCTATTCATTTGTTTCATAGTAAAACTTGAAAACTATCAAACCAAAACATATACGTATATATATAACTATATATATACAAAATTCAAAACGTGTATGTGTGTATATGATTGAGCTTAAAGTACTAACACACATAATATAAATTCCTAAACTAAATTACCCAAGCAATCTTGATCTTCAACGAAGCTCTATCTTGGTACACTTGCGGATGAAGCTAAACTTGGATCTTGAACTTGAATTGTACGATGCTTCACTCCACAATTCCACCAACCTCCTCTTGATATGATCGTGTAGGCTCAATCCATCCAACCTCCAACTACGTTGTTTGTCTACAATGAATAGATAATACAAGCACCTCAAAACAAGAAGGCCAACAAACTGTTATTCTCTCGTTTTGGACTTGTGCAGTTCTGACAGGAGGGTGTTTACGACCCCCTGTATAGGAAACCACTAAGGGTTTGTTTGCTGGACTTGGATCTTCTTTAACTGGGGCTTTGCCTCGATCATCAGCCGAAGGACCGAGGCGATCCGCCATAGTGATCTTGAATTTTGACAAATCTGGGCTAACCCAGGGTTTCACCGGTGATGAAGTAGACGCTGTTGCAGTAGAAGGACCAGGATTGGGTGTCGATGGAACTGCAGATGTGGGTTTGCGACACTGATGAACATCACGACCACATGAAGTGCCGCGGCAGTCTTCACTGTCGCGGTTGAACAAAGTGCCGCGGCAGCTCGGACTGCCGCGGTCGAATAGATTACCGCGGCAGTATGAGCTGCCGCGGTAAGTGTTTACATTCCTCTGTAATTTTTTGGTATTTTCATTTTTTGGAACCCAAGCTTTGCAGTTCTTCGATGGCTTTTCAGACACCACTTTCTTCTTGTTCCTCTGCGCTTGTTGACGAAGGGCACGAGCGCGAGCCGCCTTTGCTTGACGCCTTTGTATACGCTCTTTGAGAGTAGAACGGGCTCTTTTGACCAGAGTCCATTCCTCCGTCGTAAGCTGTGCAGAGATGTGATTGGTTTGCCGTTGATGCAATTGGTTCACATTTTCCTTTCTCGACTTTAAGTCCGTATAGTAATGGACTCCGTCGGTTTTTTGCATGGCCTTAGCCAATTGACGAGCGCGGCGCTGGCGTTGCCTTTGACGAGCCCGCTTTGTCATTATTGGCTGGCCATGATTTAAGGACTCTTTAATTGGTGTAGAGTCCTTAGGAGCAGAGATGTTGCAGAGAGATTCCTTGGCGATGACTTGGCAAGAATCTTCATCTGCGGTCTTCATCTGAATTGGAGACTTGGAAACTTTCTTTGAAGAAGAAATCTTCCTGCACTTGCGGGACGAGGAAGATTTTGAGGATGAGGATGACAAGTACTCCTCGAATTTTGCTTGATCGAATTCGTATTCGATCTCTTCAGTGACGATGATTTTGATCGGCTGCGACACTGCGGCCTCGGCAGCGAGGCCGCTGGCTCCCACTGTGGTCGCCAGTTTGTTTTCAGCGAAAGTCGTTTCCATTGCAGATTCCATTAAACTTCGATTGCTTACAGAATATTACAATGAAAAATAAACAAAATTACAACTTTCGAGAAAATAACACAGAAGTCGTTTATCAACTACTGTTTTTGTGGGACTTTGCCTGTGCCGGGAACGCTTTGGCTCCGTTGCACCCAACCGCATTCAAAGACGTCGTGAGGGTTTTATGGGATCTCTCCTTCGTTTGTCGAAGTAAAGATTTAAAACGAATATCTTAATCGATGTAAGATTCCGTTCTTGCAAAAGATCAAGTCTAGCTTAGACCTAGGAATCTACCGAATGATGCTTGTCAAAGCCGTGAAAGTTCTCTCTCTTCTTCAAAATCATGAAAGCCTCCAAGTCCTATCTGCCCCGCCAAATGCCCTCTGTCCTTTATTCGTGGTGTAGGGAGTAATCTCTATAGCGGTCTCACGTGCACCACAGTTGCAAACGGCGGGCAAAAAACTGAACCGCAGTGTTTTCTCCTTTGGCCGCTGCGCATCTACACTGCCGCCCGGCCTCTGGCGCCCGGCCAGATAGGCTGCCCGGCCAAAGAGACGGTTATCAGCACGTTCCATCGTGCTTAAAACCGTTCTCCCACGACCTTTAACCACTTTTTTCGTGGTTTAACTGCTTGTCCACGTCAGCACACGTTCTATTTCTGATATGCTGCCACGTAGGCCTCAAAAAATCATCATATAACTGCCTTGTAACCGCCACAGCACTCCTTTAACATAGCCGCGACACCCTAGGTTGCAGCGCCTAAGCCGCGACACAACAGGCTGCCGCGCCTTAGCCGCGGCACTATGTGCTGTCGCGCCTTAGCCGCGGCACTATGTGCTGTCGCGCCTTAGCCGCGACGCCATGGGCTGCCGCGCCACCTTGTGTTGCCTGATGACGTGTAAATTGTTCTCCCATATTGTTTTGAGTGGTATTTGGATGTCTGCAAGCATTTTTCGACGCCTACAGCGCAGAAGAAAAGTCATTTTGTAGTTCTCACAAACTCGTGAGGGTCAATGGGATTGCCAAAGACATCCATTGATCTTCGTCACAACGGTGTTAGGTCTAAAAATCAAAATCAAATATTTTCTTTTCATTTTATGTATATTTTGGCCGTCCACTTCCAAGAAGTAAAAAGTGTCCATTTTGACTGAGGGCCTGTTTGTTTGTACAGAAATAATTGTGAAGTAGCTGAAGTAAAAGAAGTAGATGCTACTTCTGCTACTTCCAAGCAAAAAAGTGTGTTTGGTTCTCTGAAAAACTTACTTCCAATACTTCCCTAAATGTTTATGTGGCGACTACGTGTCATCCTTACTTTCAAAATATTTTTCCAATCCTCAATACTCAGAAGTAGCTCGGAAGTAGTTGAAATGCATATTAATTATGACATAAATAATTTTTTTATTAATATTTTCTTTATTAGTTACTTCTAACAACTTTTCATTGATAAAATTACTTCCTAATAACATTTCCTCATGTTATCCAAACAAAAAAAAGTAAATGAAGAGGAAGAAGTTCTACTTCCATTACTTCTAAAAAATATGAAACAAACAAAAAAATGCTATTTCCACTACTTCCTACTTCATAGCTTTGAAAGTTACTTCTATAACCTACTTCTTATTTCTAATACTTCTATTATCTAAACGGGCCCTGAAAAATGATATATAGAATTTTGTTTCTTAGTAGAAGAAGGATGCTTTCTAATTTTTGGTAATTTTCTGTTTTTGAGAGTACGTTGCGCGGTGTTATACGTGACTCTCCATAGGATTATTTGGAGTGGGTGCAATACAAGATATACAACGAGAAAGTAGCGTAAGCAACAAAACAAAAAGGAAATACCACCGTACGCTTTGTGAGATCCAAGAACCAACCTCCTTAATTTACGAAGCAAACAGTCCATGTGATGGTGGCAAGTGCACTCATGTGGCTTCAACTACCCAAAATCAATGGGAATCAATTTACAATTGAAAGCCACTTTCAACCAACTCATTTTAGAGTGTAATCTTACCAACAGCAACATTACAATTCTTGAATTATTATTATTCCATATAAAAGTAGCATGCTTGAGGCATGAAAACTAAGATTAATATTTAGGTGAGTTATGCTAGTGAGGCTTCTATTATTATTCTTACACTATAGCAGAACTCTAAAATTTGAGAAGAATGGATTATGATAATTTTATGTTCTAACAATATTAGTTACCTTTGATCATACGGTCGAATTAAAAGGATTAAAATCGTCAAAGATAAAAGTTTCGGTTTTACATCAGAGTGCTGTAACGGGGACCCAAAATATAGGACCAAAGGAGGAGACACACTATTGCATAATGAGTTGGTCATGCCAACTCATTATGCAATAGGGAGGGGGTGGCCAACTCATTATGCAATAGGAAGGGGACACCTCACATGTCCCCTCCCTTGGTCCCATATTTTGGATCCTTAAGTCATTTTTTTTTGCATCATCATCGTCAAACATAATCTGATATTTTTTAAAGAGAAAAATTAATAAAATATATTATAAAAATTATTTGTGATTATGATTGAGAGAGGTTATTTGTGTTTAATGCATTTTCCAACTGTCCTGGCGTTACCTCCCACGCGCTAACAACCAATCCTACGCTGGTGTTAATTCCTATCCCCAGTCAACTCGCTGAAGAACACATTGACAAGATGATTGACAACTAAAAATGCAGCCGCTCTCATCATACGTATAGCTAGGGCGTAACTCGTAAGGGCATCTCCAACTCATCGCATCAAAATGGTGTAAATTTTGCATCAAAATAGTGTAAAAGTCACATCTAACATTAATTCATCTCCAACTCATTGCACCATTTTTTGCACCAAAAAGGAATATTCTCAGTATCTTTCTTTTTATCTATTTTTATATGATTATTTTTTATTCCCTATATTTTTAACTATTTCAACAATTAACCCCACATATCAAATTTTATTTTTTCACGTATTTTCCAAACAAAATGATTTATTATTTAAAAAATTAAACTAATAAAACAATAAAATATTATATTTTTATTATTAATATTGCCAAAATATTACATTCAAGAACACAACAGAAAATAAAATACAAGAAAATAATTAAACATTAACAACAATGTAAAAATTACAAATTTAGTATGCTCTTAACTATCTGAATTAGTGTATTCCTCCCATAGATGATCTATCAATGCATTACGAAGCGCAATATGGGCATCTTTATCCTTGATTTTTCCGTAACGTGCAATAAATTGAGTAAATCTTGTAGTTTCATCTGCTACCATATCAACTTCTGGTGTTGGTGCTTCCCTCACTTCTTGAATTGGTGCATAAAGATCACGTTCATCCTCGATTATCATATTGTGCATAATAATGCATGCAGTCATTATGTCATGTAATACATGTTTTTTCCAAAAACGTGCTGATCCTGCCACGATTGCAAATCGTGATTGGAGAACTCCGAACGCACGTTCTACATCTTTTCTACATGCTTCCTGTTTCATGGCAAAATATTTTTTCTTCCTACCTTGTGGCTGTTGGATTGTTTGTACAATAGTAGCCCATTTCGGATATATACCATCAGCTAAATAATAACCCATATTATACTCTTTTCCTTGAATAACATAGTGAGCGGGAGGAGCAATACCTTGAGCTAGGTTAGAGAAAAGATTAGATGACTCCAGCACATTGATATCATTATTGGTGCCTGGCATACCAAAATATGCGTGTCATATCCAAAGATCATAATCTGCCACATCTTCAAGGATAATAGTTGGTGACCCACTACGTCCTGTGTATTGCCCAGACCATGTTGTTGGATAATTTTTTCATTTCCAATGCATACAATCAAGACTTCCTAACATTCCTGGAAAACCACGTTTTTTTCTAATATAGAGTAGCCTAGCAATATCGTTAGCGTTAGGTGTTCGTAGATACCGCTCTGCGAATATTTCCACCATAGCACGACAAAATTTTGTCATACTTTCAATTGCTGTTGACTCACCTATTTTAACGTATTCGTCCGTAGCATCAGCTGGTAGACCGTATGCCAACATGCGAAAAACAGCTGTTACTTTCTGTAACGGTGATAATCCCATTCTACCAAGTCCATCACTTCGTTGTTGGAAGTAATAGTCATGATCTTTCACTGCATCAACAATACGAAGGAACAAACTTCTTGACATCCGATATCGACGACGAAACATATCTTCTCCAAAACGTGGATTATCGGCAAAGTAATCTATGACCAAATTCTGATGCGCATTTTCTCGATCGCGGTTGATCACTGCATGACCGGGAATCGAGCCACCATGGATCGGTTGGTAGTTGTGTTGACGTAAATTGTTAACGAGGATCATGTTGTTGTTGATGTACTCACAAATTACTTCTTCGGTTTCATCAATCTCTGCAATGATATTGGACAGAAAATTATCATCATCCGAAGATGAAGATGATGATAAGTATGATGGACCTCCAACATCGAAATTCATTTTTGAAGTAAGAAAAGAATGACTGAAGTATGCAGAAATGGAGAATAATAATTTTAACACAACAACGAGTAATTGTGTGGATGTACCTAATCTAGTATGCTATTTATAAAACTTTGCTTAGCTGTATACATGGAACAATGTGTAAAGTTGAGCTGATTTTAGGAAATGCTTTCTAGCTGTTATCAATTTGTCACAAAATTCAAATTAGCTTTTAGCTGTATACGTTGGACAATGTGTAAAGCTGAGCTGATTTTAAAAATTGATTCCCACTCGTATAAAGCTTTCACACAATTCAAGGAAAGCTGAGTTGTGTATACGTTGGACAATGTGTAAAGCTAACCTGATTTCAAAAAATGATTCCCACTCGTACAAAGCTTTCACACAATTCAAGTAAAACTGAGTTGTGTATACGTTGGACAATGTGTAAAGCTAACCTGATTTCAAAAAATGATTCTCACTCGTACAAAGCTTTCACACAATTCAAGGAAAGCTGAGCTGTGTATACGTTGGATAATGTGTAAAGCTGACCTGATTTCAAAAATTGATTCCCACCGACAACTTTGGATAATGTGTTAAGCTGATCAGTTTGTACAAAATGATTCAATTTCAAATGTTGACCACCGACAAATTCAAACCAACCGCAAATTCAAATTCAAATTCAAATTCAAATTCAAACAAAAAAAAACAAATTTCGATTGGCTATAAATAACATTCACGAATTCTACTTCAAACCACCCAATTCGAAGTATTTCTTCAAAGTATTTCTGATCTCCAAACCTACCGCTTTTTATAAAAAAATGTCTGTTCGATCAACTGGATACACGGTTACTGAAGATGTGCTCCTTTGTCAAGTATTCTTGGATATTTCTCAAGACCCTATTATCGGTAGAAACCAGTCTCGAGATGCATTTTGGTCTCGTGTGGAGGACAAATACAATGAACTTCGAGATCAGCATTTTGAGATGCGTATGAGCCGATCAATTCGTTCTCGAATGGAAATCATAAGTAATGAAGTAAGGAAATTGAATGCGTGCTTGAGACAAGTAGAGAATCTGAATCCAAGTGGTGCTTCAGATGAAGATATTGTAAGTATTCTATTAATTATCGTCTGAATTTTATTATTATTGTTGAAATACATAACTTGATGTTCACTATAATTTGCAGTTAGTTCGAGCAAAGATGTTATTTATGCAAGAACCAAAGTACAAAAAAGGTTTCAAATTTGATCATGTCTGGAATATGGTTAAAAATTTCGAAAAATTCAAAGATGATGTCCCCACAGCAAGACAAGTTGGTCGAAGACAATCCCAAAGTGTGAACTTCGACTCGTCACAATCAGATAATCCCACTCCGGAATCTCCTATATCAACATCTCCTGGACTGTCATCATTTACTCCATCTGAACGACCTATTGGGGTAAAAAAAGCTAAATTGAAAAGGAAAAATGATGATCATGAGTCAAGTGTAGTGGACTCCATCGAGACCTCCAACAATCGACTTATAAACAGGTTAGACAAGGCGAGCTTGGATAGCATTTGATATCGAACGAGAAAAGATAGCCATGAAAAAAGATAGAGATGAATGGAAAATTATAATGAAAGATTTGAATTCCATTGCTGATCCAAACGTGCGTGAGTACGTTCGAGCTCAACAGATTAAAATAATACAAAAAAGAAATCAACAAGAACAAGGGTATGCTTCTAATTTTGGCAATTATTTCAATGATATTGGACACTCTAGCCCCGATCTAACCAGATTATTGAGAGTTGCTTGTCCATCTTAAGTAATGTCACCATGTTTAGTTTGTATTTTATGTTTTATTTTAATGAAGTTTTGTATTATGTTTGTCAGTTTTTATATGTTATGTATTTTAGATATGTAATTTATATTTGAATTATGTATTATGATTGCTCTTTATATTTCATGGGACTTTACTTATAATGTCTAGATTTTAATATTATAATTAATAATAATGTCTGTTAAATTTTAGCATTTTTTTATTTTTAAAAAATAATTTATTTTGTCCAAATTATATAATTAGGGTAAAATTATAAAATTTAAATATTATTGGGGTTGTTTTATATATTTAATGAAACAATTGGGGACAAATTGTAAATATATAAAAGTATGAGGTATAAAAAAATTGAAAAAATAAAAAAATAAAAAAAAACAGTAATGGGAGAGATGAACAGTGTGACGCCAAATATAGTGTCGCGTTGTTCATCCCCGTCAAAATGCGGCAATAACTGCCGCTCGGTTGGAGCTCCCACGCACTTTTTGTCTCAAAATGTCGCTGCGTTGGAGATGGGAACAGTGACGGATTCAGAAATTTTTTTCTACGAAACAAGTTGTACTTTTTTAGATAGACTTGAACCAAGTATTAACACGAGGAAAACCCACATCTATACTTGTTTGGCCTACTTAATTAGGATTAAATATCTTATTTAAGTTTTAGGCGTGAACTCAATGACATTTAACTTTCTTTTATTTTTTGGCTTATTGCTTTTGAGACGATCTAAAATCAATTCTCACCAAACTTGTCACAACCACATCGACCACCCCCTACGTATCCGCTGCCCACACCTAAGGCTCCCACGTTCAAGAATCTCAATCAAAACCAACAGTAAAATGACAGCTACGCAATCTCAATATTAGACAAAAGCTCCATGATAGATTCCATTTCATTTATATATACATACACATGCTCCACAACTCAAAAACCTTAGGAGCCCATTTTCTACCATTCTTTATACAGATTCAAGGCTCCCATTCCCTCAAAATAGACTCATAACTAATAAAATAAAATAAAATAAAGTAAAAAAAGCTCCCATGCTCATCTCTCTCTTATTTACACATACATCTTTAATTACAAATTCTCAAGAGAGGTAGAGCCCAAAAATAAAAATAAAAACTCACCAAAGATTTGGACTAATTTACAATAATCCTTAGAACAAGTTTGCAAATAACCCCCTCTTAACTTCTCACTTCTATCGTGTTAATTAACTCCTCAGGTTCAAAAAATCTAGGCCATGGCAGAGATGCTGTGGGTCCCGCGGCGGTCACGGTCGAGGCAACATTCAAAACCCTCGATCCGGACCGGAGCTGGTTTGAACCCGAACTTGGTTCGGGCGCAACCCGAACCCGAAATTGAAACCGGCTCG